GGGCCCATATATGCCTTGCCCAGAAGGCACAGAGTTATGTATGCCCACCTGGGTTAAAGCAATGTGTAGAGCAATGCAGGAATGAACTGGGGTGATAATGTTGTATGTGTCAGGGCTTCATAAAGTGCTGGACAGACATACAGTCCTAGTATTCCTAATCTTAGAACCTTCCAACCCCCCTCCCCTGTTCCTTGATGCCCCCAAGTCTGTGTTCTGCCCCTGGAGTCTTGTCTTTTCTCAGGGACCAGCCCAAGGCCCCGCTCCTGCTCACACACAGGGTGCAAGGGCCCCTGCGAATTCCTAGAGCTCTCGCTGTTGGCTGACTCACAGGAACATTGCAACCAACCCTGCTCGGTGAGCCAGGCTCAGAAGACCTGGTTCTGCTGCTGAAGTAAGGAATAAACTATGTGCCCATTAAGTGCTCACTTTTTCCACCTGAGCCCAAATGTTTCTATCTCTCTCTCCCTCTCCCTTCCTCTCTGAAATCAATTATATATATTGATTTTCCTTTAAAAACTCCAATGATCTGATTTGAAGACTTATTAGAAAGCTACAGCCAACCAAGATAGTAATCAAGGTATTGCTGTCAAGATAGACAAGTAGATCCATGGAACCAAACAGAGCATCCAGAAATAGGTGCCCTGATACAAAGTCAATTGGAGAAATGATAATGGAACAACTGGCCTTAAGTAAGCAAACACCGAACTTTAATCCACACTTCACACCACACACCAACAACAAAACAAAACCTCAAAATGTATCAGAGACTTAAATGTAAATCTTAAACTACAAAACTTCTAAGGGAAAACATAGGAGAAAATCTTTGTGACCATTAGACAAAGATTTCTTAGGCACAACATCAAAAGTATGATCCACACATTTTTTAAAACTGGATTTCACCAAAATTAAATTTTTTGTTCTTCAAAAGGCACTCCTAAGAGAACAAAAAGATAAGCCACACACTGAAAAAATAATATTTGCAAAACAAATATCTACTAAGGACTTGTGTCTAAGAAATAAAAAAAAAATCCTCTCAAAACTCAATAATAAGAAAATAATGAGCAAAGATTCAGACAGACACTTCACCAAAGGAGATATTTGGATGGCAAAGAAGCACACGGAAAGATGCTCAGCCATTAGCCACTAGGAAAAAGCAAATTAAAACTCCAATGACAAACCACTACACATCTATTAGAAAGCTTAAAAAGACTGACAATACCAAGTGCTGGTGAGGATGTGGGGAGCAAGTGAAACTCCCATACACTGCTGTGACAATATAAGGAAATAGTTTAGCAATTTCTTAGAAAGTTAGACATGCACCTGCCACATGGCCTAAGCATTTTACCTGAGAGAAATGAAAACATATGTTCACAAAAGATTTTACCTGAATGTTCATAACAGCGTTATTCAAAATAGCTCCCCACAGTGGAAACAGACCCAATGTTCATTAACAGGTAAATGGATAAAGAAATTGGGGTATATCCAAATAAGGGTATGCTACACAGTAATGTACTATTGTTACACTAAACAGCATGAATGAATCTCAAAATAAGTATGCTGAGTGAAAGAAACCTTCCCAATAAAGCACATGTTATATGATTCCCTTTATGGAATTCTAGAAAATTCAAACTAATCTATAGTGACAGAAAAATCATTGATCATCTGAAAAGCAGTGAGAGGTGAGAAAGGGGTAGGAGAAAAGTAATAAAAAAGAAGCATGAGTTCGGCCAGTGGTGCTCAGTGGTTGAGCATCAACCTATGAATCAGGAGGTCACAGTTTCAATTCCTGGTCAGGTCACATGCCTGGGTTGTGAGCTCAATCCCCAGTAGGGGGTGTGCAGGAGGCAGCTGATCTTTCTCATCTTTTATTATATAGGATAGAGGCCTGGTGACGGGTGGGGGCCGGCTGTTGAAGGGTGTCCTGGATCAGGGTGGGGGTCCTGCTAGGGTGCCTGGCCAGCCTGGGTGAGGGGCTGATGGCTGTTTGCAGGCTGGTCAAGCCTCCCAGTGGGAACCCTCACCCCATGGGGGTGTGGCCAGCCTGGGTGAGGAGCTGATGACTGTTTGCAGGCTGGTCAAGCCTCCCAGTGGGAACCCTCACCCCATGGGGGTGTGGCCAGCCTGGGTGAGGAGCTGATGACTGTTTGCAGGCTGGCCACAGCCCCTTCAGGGTGGGGGTCCCCACTGGGGTGCCTGGCCAACTTGGGTGAGGGGCTGAGGGTCGTTTTCAGGCTGGCCATGCCACGGGTTGGAAGTAGGTATCTGCTGGGATTTATTTATCTTCTATAATTGAAACTTTGTTGCCTTGGTCAGGCTCCCAGCTCCTCCTTGAGTGGAAGCCACGCCGGCTGGAAGCAGGTATCTGGGATTTATTTACCTTCTATAATTGAAACTTTGTAGCCTTGAGCGGAGCTCAGGGCCGGCAGGGCAGGCGGGAAGCTTGGCTTCCTCCATTGCCAGGGCAACTCAAGCTTCCTGCTCACTCCAGCTCTGTGCCGCCATCATCTTTGTGACAGAGTGATGGTTAATTTGCATATTACTCTTTTATAAGATAGGATAATAAAAGGGTAAGATGCAAATTGACCCTAATGGCAGAACGACTGGGAACGACCAGTCACTATGATGCACACTGACCACCAGGGGGCAGATGCTCAATGCAGGAGCTGCCACCCCCAGGTGGTCAGTGCGCTTCCACAAGGGGAGTGCCACTCAGCCATCAGCCGGCTCATGGCTGGCCAGTGCAGTGCTGGTGGCGGGAGCCTCTCCCGCCTCCGTGGCCGCACTAAGGATGTCCAACTAATGGGGGGAGTGCGGGCCTAGGCCGTTAGTCAGACATCCCCCGAGGGCTCCTGGGCTGCCAGAGGGATGTCTGACTGCCAAATAGGCCCTTATCCCCTGGGAACGGGCCTAAGCAGGCAGGTGGACATCCTCCAAGGGGTCCCTGACTGCGAGAGGGAGCAGGTCAGGATGAGGGACCCCCCACCCTGAGTGCATGAATTTTCGTGCACTGGGCCTCTAGTACTTATATAAATTAAAATCGATTATGTACTCTTGTTACTATTTCCTGGCAGAGGCCTACAGTTTAAATCAAGAACTGGGTCACTTGGTTCTGGTTTTCCAGTCACACTTCTTAATCTATCTTTTCTACATGACGCACACTCACCCTCACTTCCTCCTGACCACTTGGCAATCACAGCAGACACAGAAAGGATATCAAATGGTTTCATTATAAATCTGAATCTAAATCTCCAGAGACAAAGCTCATCTTTTCATATTTATATGATTTTCCTCACCAAGTGCAGAACAACATGGCCAGTATAAATGATAAGAAATAGATTTTTCCATATGAGATCCACATTTCTTAACCCCAGCAACATTACCTAAAGGAAATATTAAAACTCAATTGATGAAACTTGTGGGTTGTTCTACAAAATATCCCTGCTGTAATGAGGGTATACTGAAAAAATAAAAAGTGACGGGGTGAAGCCCACTCAAAGATGACTTTTAATTCTGAAAAGGACTACAGCAAGTGACATTTGTGAAAATGGTGCAAAAAAAAAAATACTATATTCTTCCAAAAACTCCACATGAAAGCACGGAAAAAAACTGGCAAGAGAAGCCAGAAACGGTATTTTCAGAACACTGGGAATTAGACAAAGGCTGGCAGCATTCCGGACAGCACTGATTTAAGAGAAATGGCTGCATTTCAGCGTGAACGGTGAGCTGCGTGGTATTTTAGTTGCCCTGTCCCATTCTGCCCCCAACTCTTGGTGACAGCCTTGGACACCAAGGACCTGAAATCTGTCTTGAGCTTTAGCAATCATGAGGAGGTTTAGCAGGATGAGGAGGTTCAGCAATCTGGCCGTCACCGGAGGGAGGGGCAGCACAGGATGGTAGCTCCTTCAGAGTCTCATCCCAGAGAACCATCATTATTCATTTGTCTGGGGGTTCCTTGCAATACCCTCATTGCAAATTTGTTTTATCAGGACCGATTCAAAGCTTGGCCAGTGTAAAAAGCCTTTCCCCAGGGGCATTTATAGAAAATGAGTGGAGGCAATTGTTTAAATTCCTCAAAAGTTAACACAGAGTTACCATATGGCCCTGCATATATACCCCAGGGAATTGATGACATAGGATCACACAAAAACTTGCACACAAGTTTCCATAGCAGCATTATGCACAATATCCAAAAAGTGAAAACAACTCAACTATCCGTCAACAGGTGAATGGATAAACAAATATGGTATGTCCATCCAATACACTAGTATTCACCTGTGGAAAAAAGTGAAGCACTTATTCATGCTACAACAGGGATGGACGCTGAGAAAATCAGGCTGAATGAAACTGGACAGAAAGTGCCACATTTTATATGATTCCATTGATATAAAATGTCCAGAATAAAAATGTACATAGAGACAGGAGGTAAATCAGTGGTTGTCAGGGGCTGTCGGGAGGAGATGGGAAACGGGTGTTAATGGTACATGGTTTTATGGCGGGGGTGGGAGGGTGACAATATTCTGGAATTTGTCACGCGGCGATGGTTGCACAACCTCATGAATAGACTAAACCCCAATGATTTGTACACTTTAAGAGAGTGAATTGTATATTAATTATATTTCAATTTTTTTTTTTTAGAAAAAGTAGTACAGCTTCTGAAAGTCGTATTGGCCATTTAAATTTCCATGAAAATTTTCTGGGGTGGCTTTGAGCTATTGGGTTGAGAAAGTTAATCTTGGCAATTACATATGTGGGGGAACACAACTACAAGGGCTACGCACACACACACCACACACACACACACACACACACACACACACACACAACCACAAAAAATGCATACCATCTAAAGCAAGCCCTTTACCTTCCAGGTACTCAAAAGTGTGGCCACAGTTATTTTCCTGGCAAACCATTTTCTTTAACACTATCTCCAATCTGCACACCCCCCACAAGGTTGGACATAGTATAACTCTCCAGACTGAAGCCAGCAAGGGTAACCCTACCTTTATTATTGTTTTGTTGTTCCATCAATAATTTACTTATTTCCGAAAACCAACAATCTCTGATTTCCTTGGAAGCTGCCTGCAATTACAGATAAGAAAACACCGTGAGTATCAGATCAGATGGAGGATGAATTGCACAGGGCTTCATCCTCTGGGGGACCGTAGGAACAATGAGATAGAAAACATGTGTCCAGCCACGGGCACCCCTCTGGGGAAGCCCCGAGCTTTACCTGCAGGATGTATTTCTCAAGTCCGTTTCGGTTGACAAGTTCAAACTTTCTGTTGCCCCCCCTTTCAAGTTGGTGAATTGAAAGTGTCGTCCACTGTTACAAAGAAAGAAGAAAAATGTCCAAACCATCGTTTTCTGATTTCAGAATGGTCACTGTCAGCTACCCTAATCCTTTCTACCCCTGATGTCTCTCTTCTTCCATCTTTCTTCCAAGTGTTTTTGCTGTCTTCTCTTAACGGCTCCAAGGAGCATAAAACAGTCTGGCACAGAGCCATCTGCCTCGTCTGCTTCAGAGGATAACAGACTATATCTTCCTATCAGTAGAGCTGTGGCCGCAACCTTTAAGCAAAGATCATCTCTTCCGTAACACAGGCTCTACTTACCAAGTCTCTCACTCCTGTGCCCGGAGGAAATAGGCCCCTTCCCTCTACTTAGCACGAAATCCCCTTTCCTCCAGCTCTGCCCTGTCTGCTGACTGATTCGCAGCCCGGACTCTGGAGTGAGACGTGGGTGTGGATTCTCGCTCTGTTGTGTGGCATTTGGCAAGTGAGCCCCACCTCTCTGTGCTACAGCTTCCTGTCTGTAACATCAGATCACTGTGTTTCTCTCCATAGGCTGTGCAGACGCCCGGAGGGGGGGGGGGGGGGGACAGGAGCCCGTTACCTTCATAGACTTCTTAAAGCTGTAATGAGGCGCCGGGCCCTGGTCACTGGGCTCCATCCGTATCTTGCAGAACACGATTCCCCTTTCAAACAGATAGAGCTGCCTCTGGCTGGGCTTAAAGCGAATGAAACCCGTCACCTTGGAGCGCTCCTTGCGCACCGTCCAGACGCTGAACGCGCCGTGCCTCCGCAGCCTGCCCAGTTCTCCGATGTCCTCCTTTAAGGATCACAGACACACACACAGCGGAGCTGCTCAGTGACTCGCCAGGGAAAGAACTCTGAGGGGTCTGTTTTCCAAGGAGAAATCGTGCTTATTCGAGGTCCACGATCTTCGAAGTGCCCCCCAGGCTAACCTGCCGCTAAATCAAAACTGCAACCGTGTAAGCTTCACTGAGCAGGACGACACCCCTCAGTTACATCAGGAAATAGCTCAGCCGCGCGAGGGAATACACAGACAGCAGGTGGGCAATACTGGAACTAAAGAGACTGGGACTCTGATGTTTTGTCTTGTAATTCAGTGTAGCTGGCCGAATTCCATGTCCTCGTCTTTGTTTCTGAGCCACGACGCTACTTAACAAGGGCAAGAGACTAACATGGGAATTGTGCTCAGAAGAGACAACATGTTTTGCTGCATCGTGGATCTCGGGTAATCCACGTGCCCCATCTGCTTCATGTCTATGAGAACCTGGGATCATGAGATTTGTTCTGAAAGGAGGAAGCTTAATACGACCGAAAGCAGGGGTGGGGAGCCTTTTCTCTGCCAAGGGCCAGTTGGATATTTATACCATCATTCGTGAGCCATACAAAATTACCAGCTTAAAAATTAGCCTGTTATCTTTGGTCAGACATTTAATTAGCTCAGCCCTAATGCCTTGGCAGGGCCAGACCGAATGATTTCTCAGGCCTTCTATGGCCCGTGGGCTGGGCTTTCCCCACCCCTGCAGACAGAAAATAATTGAGGAAATTAGGGCAAAAAAATTTTTAGAAGATGAAAAGGTTATACATAAAACCCACGCAATAAAGCCATGTACCCTTGCTGCAGACTCAGCTCTGACCTCCCAGCGGACAGCACAGAGGGAAGCACAGCGAGTTATACGAATCATTATGTCCCAAGACATACCCAAACCAGTTGTTCAGGAAACACATGGATTCCTGTTAATGAGACATGAGAGAAATTTCTCCCATGAGTCCTCATACAGGGTCACTGAGTCAAATGCTGAGCACACCCTCAAACACATCCCAGAATAGATGGATGAATGGATTTTAGGTAAAGCGCTTTCTAAGGACACATCTGGCGAAGGTGGAACAGCACTTCATAGGCACAGCTGTAAAAGCAATTCTAAAAGAGGCCAGAACAATGGGGGTGTGAATGAGCCCAGGTGTGCTCTCTCTAATGACCTGTCGAGGGCAGGGCCATGTTAGTAAGGTGTCTGCCAAGGCCATGGCCAAAGAAGCCGCCGTGGACAGCGATGCTTCTGTCCTTACTCACCCCTGCACTTTCCTCCTCACCCCACCTGCAGCCACAGCCGTTTGCATGTTGGGAGGCAACCAATCAAAGGATGTGAGGCCAGTGAGGTGCCAGCCCCTGACCACAGGGGCCTCATGTGAAAAAGATGCCAGACAGTCAACCTGACCCTTGTCTCAGCTGAAGAGACCTGAGGAGGAGGCAGTGAGCAGCAGGGATTGCCGCTGTGAGATGCTCTATCAGAGGGCAGGTGGTAGAATGAATGATAAGGAAGCAGAGCATGAAGATGAGTCACTGGAAACTATGAGGAAGAAAAAAAGACGTGGACAGACCCAGTCGCTGCCCGGTGAGAGGAGAGGCAGAGCACATAGGTGAGAACCCCAAGTCCCTTCCAGGCCAAGGCCCCAGAACTGATGGGGAGCCTGCAGTTGCCCAGGTCCCACATCTGGGAGCTCGGCGCTGCCACTGTCCCGACTCTACCTGAGGCTCTCAGTTAACTTTTCCAGTGAGCCCATCATCACGGGGAGTCACTGGGGCCGATTGCTGGTTGTGAGTCTGGCTGAAATGGACGAGCTGCATATCCTCCAGGTCGTCTTGCATAAACTTTGTCAGAACCATGCCCCTGACAGGATTAAACAGTCAGGATGCCTGTCTGTGTGGAGGCCACCACTGCCAAGGGGAACAGGGAAGGAGATTCCTCAGAGAGGGACCAAGGATGACCGGGCCATCTTTCCAACCATGTATATCCTTTCTTTCCAATCAGACTGTAGTTGGTCCCAAAGCCAGAGACCACGTGCACAACCTCTCACAGATATTGGACAGATATTGGTCCCTTAGAAAGTATTTAATCATTGATTGGCATTTAGTGAGGGGTGGGGGGAGGGGACATGACGCTGAATGCTCAGCACTACGACGAGGGAGTTAATGCAGTGAATAGCATCTCCTCCAAAACTCATGTCCACCTGGGACCTCAGAACGTGACAGTATTGAAAATAGGATCTCAGATGTAATTAGTTAAAATTTGGTCATACTGGATTAGGGTCGACCCTAACCTAAAGGCTGATGTCCTTATGAGAAGAACAAATAGAGACACGGAGAGGCACACATATAGAAGACAGTCATGTGAAGACAGGGACAGGAATTGGAGTGATGTCGCTGAAAGCCAAGGAATGCCACGCATTGCCAGAAACAGGAGCAAGGAGGAAGAGCCTTCAGAGAGAACGTAGCTGTGCAATACCTTGATTCTGGATTTCTAACTCCCAGCACTGTGAGAAAATAAATGTCTGTGGTTTTAAGCCACCCAGTATGTGGCGGGTTGTCATGGCAGCTCCAGGAAATGAATTACCCCCAACCAGTTTTTCCCACCAGTGGCGTAATGGTGTGGCCCTCAGTTTGGTGTGTTGACGAATCTAATGGATCTGAACTCAGAGATAGACTAGGGGCTACCCTCCACTCAAATGAGCAAGTCAACAGTCCTCCTCCGTATGGGAAATGATGGCAAAGATAAACTAGTAAATGCTACCATTTTCATGTGTGGACAGTTTGTAGGTAAGAGCTCTGATATAAGAATTTCACATGTGACCACATGGGCCAAAAGAAGAATCTGGCTGAGAGAGAATCTAGGGAAGCTAGCCTCCAGAAAGAGACGGGGTGCCTAGGTGTTCACTCTTGACTGTGACAGAGCTATATACGCTTCTTGCACAAAGAAGCAGGAAACATCTGGATAAGTGAATCAGCACAAAGCCTGGTCCAGAAATGAAAAGCAGGAACTGTGGGACGGAGAAGCCCAGATTACAATCACCAGAAGCAAAGGGGTTTCTTCCTTCCCAGTCTGATCAAGGACCCAAACAAGTCACCCCTGGGGCCCTGTATTCAGCACCTACCAGGCACCAAGCAAGGTGCTAGGTGCCTTAAACATGATTTAATCTTCAGTGACTCCACTTAGAGGTGTCATGAGGGTGGGAAGATAGGCAAGGCAATTCCATTGAGTCCTTAAGATTGTTTACTCAGCCTTATTTCTGTAGCCAACATATGGTAAGGAAAGTGGAAAGTATCATAGAAACAAAATACCTGGGCCTAGCCCACAATAAACTTGCAATAAAAATACTCCCTTTAATAAATTATAAACTTTGTTCCAGAAAATTAAAATGTTTTATTCAACCTTTATTATTTAACTTTGAAACTTGTTCCTGGCAAGTCAGGATTTAAAAGGACTCTAAATGTTCTTCTATTTTATACATTGGATTGAAGAGGGGAAACTTTTTTTTTTTGGCAAATAGAGGGAAGTAAATTAAATCTCAGTGTTCCATAAAACAACCTTTCTTTAAAAAATAATTTTAAAAAAGTTTTTGTGATTCAATTAAACCAAGAATTGAGTATACACAAAGAGAAAATGTAACTATCAGAAGGGATTTTTTTTTTCTAGTTGCTTTAATGATGAAGTCACCCACTCAAGTTCAATTCCTTTCCTTTACAAAACCAGGTTAATATTGGGTGTCAAGTAGAGAAACTAAGAGGTTAAGCTGGATTTATTCACCCGTACAACACATGATGGCAAACACCTTGTGATAAAGTTCCACAAAGCTGAGGCCAAGACTCTCAGTTTCATTGGATCTGAGATAGCAGTAGGGGAGTTGTTAGTAAACTCTAAACAGAACCAGATGAAGAATATGTGGAGAGGGTGGTACCCTGGCGAGGGAGTGAAGAGATCCAAGACACGGTGCAAGCTGATGACCGTGTGATCTTCGGCGAGTTAACTCTTCTCTCCATGGATCTGTTGCTGAAGCAGAAAGTTGAAAATTCCAATGCCTGCTCTATCATTCAATAGAATGATACAAAACTGTCACGATAAATTAGCCAATGTACGAGGTGGAAAGCAAGTTAGCCTTAGCCAAAAAAGAAACCAGAGTGTACTATGTGAAAGGTGCCATTCTGAGGACACGTGGGGGCAAAAAAGACGTTTTGCACTTGCTGTGAAATCTCCAAAATTCTATAAACTGGTTCATCTGATTTGCACACAAGCCGTGGGGAGGACAACTAAAGTAGATTGCAATCTACGCACGTTTCATTCATTCTTTTCTCATAACTTCCTCCTCTCATGTTACTTATAGTAAGAGGAACTGCTGGGAGTTTCCTGCCCGGTGTAACATTCATTTGATTCAGGCAAATATGGGTATTTCATAGGGGCGGCTGACACATGTTCAAAGATAAAAAGAAAACAACAGAAAGATGTCCCCAAATGATGAAACAACTTGCTTCTTTGAGAGCTTGTTTGGAGGTTCTAGCAGGGGAGCGCAGCTACTCGTATACCCTTGACGGGTCCTCTCCTGGGGGCGGGGGGGGGGGGGGGGGGGGGGGGGGAGGTCGTCCTCTTCGACGGAGCGCGCAGCTTCGGGAGGGACGCACATGGATCGGTGAGGGAGGAGGGGGACACCCGCCTAGCCAACCAGATCAGCCGAATCAACCCTGGCGATCAATGGGGTGACAGATGTCGCAGCCAGATCGCCCTCACATCCAACTTGCTTCTTTGACTTTAGCTGAAGAAGGAAAAATTAATACCAAGGAAATCACCCCGTGTGGTTCAGGGGTAGCCGCCTGAGTCTGGCGTCAGCAGTAAACAGAGTGCGCGGGAGTCCCAGGGACCGAAACAGCATCCCTGCCTGGGTCACAGCAACCCCAGGGGCTGTTTCTGAAATGCTGGCCAGAGAAATACCAGGAAGGAAGGAAAAGAATCACAGTTTTTGCCCCTACTTAATTTGCATGGTTTGATTTATGACAGGGAAAGATAAGAAAGGTCATTTCATCTGCCCAGACCTCAATAAAAACAGGTAAAAATAAACAGGAAAAAAAGAAAAAAAGAAGGAACGTATCTGAAATGCAGAATGCTTGGTCCCTGTGCAGTAAGCATAGCCTCCCAAAGAGGTCCAGGCCCTAATCCCTGGAGCCTGAGAGTAGGTCAGGACACATGCCGAATGTTTCAGATGGAATCAGAGCTGTTCGTCAGCTCACGTTGAGATGGAGAGATTATCATGGACTACTTGGGTGGGCCTGATGGAATTGCAGAGTCTTTAAAAAGTCGAAGAGAAGCGAAAAAAGGGTCGGAGGGATGCAATCAATGTAAGAACTCAACGAATGCGATGTTGCTGCTTTGCAGTGAGGCAGTGGCCATGAGCCAAGAAACACGGGTGATTTTTGTTGTTGCTGTTTTTTAAGATGGAAAAGACAAGGAACAGATTCTCTCCTAGAGCCTCCTAAAAGGAAGACAGACACTTTGATTTTGGCCCCTGGTGAGACGGTTGTAGTTCTGCCCCGTGGACCTATAAGCTAAGAAACTGGTGCTGTTCTAAGCCACCAGACTCGTGGTGATTTGTCACTGACAATGATAGAAAACTAATATTCCTGAGCTAAAATCGAGAGTACTTCACAGTGACTGTGAATATTAGTTCTGTTCCAGATGAATATTACTTATGTCCCAGTCGCAGGCGAGCACACAGCATAGAGGACGGTTTGCCTGGAATGCCCAGGACGCGCCTGCTCAGGATTAACCCGAATGCCCGAGCGGAGATGGCTCAACGTGCCAGCATTGCCTCTCTCGGTATTTTCCTTCAACCACCTGGATTAAGGCAAGTATAATACATGCTTGCTGGGCCTCTTCTGGGATCTGGGATGTAAAATGGGGCGAGACTTTCACTTAGCACCCGTTTTCAAAGTAATTTTCATGGAGAAAATTTGATCAAGAAGGAGAACATTTTAAATTTTAATAGTGCCAGGAGTCAAAATGAATTACCCTTTTAGCCATTTCCCCTGCCCATATATATTCTGGCCCCTGAGTTCCCGGTTTTTCCAGAGCACAGGTCAGGCTCAACATTCTGGACCACGAGGAATACAAGATTCCTGAAAACCCTGAGGGGCTGCTGGAATCTCTGAGCACAGGTGCGCTGATGGATGCAGGCTACTTTCCCAGAGTCAGATTCCTCTACCATACATCGTTTCCCCTACTTGGCCACAGCATCTCCTACCGTGTTTACACTGCGCCTGCTTCTCAAGGGAAACCTTCCAACCACTGTTAATGGGACATAACATACCGGGCATCCAGTGACCGCAGCTAGGTCCACGGCCAGTTCACAGGTCTGGATCAGCTCCTCTATCATGGCCAAAGCCTGCTGCAGTTCCGCCAAGGACGCGGGATCCTTGGTCCTCTTAGGCCCGTCCTGTGGAAACCAAATGCCTTGTAGGGAATCAAAAGGTAAACCATCTTCCAAGTGAAGATGGAAAACAGGACCGAGATAAGGAGCCACTGATCCAGCCAGCACGAAGTGTCTGAGACGGTGGGGACACCCATCTGCTCTCCGGCTCGCAGAGAATGGTGGCTAACGGTATTTGCTGGTTTACCATCAACCACACTTCTGTAGATTGTACTAGTGAAGAAAGAAGTTCATAAAATCATGGGCATTATACTCCTGCTCTATAAGAAACATACTGAGATTTTTTGAAGCATGAAAAAAACCAAACAAACCCAAAACACAACCCCTTTAAATTGACTGCCCTCTCCTTTATACTCCTACCCCTGCAGCCTACAGAAAAGTACAATTCATATTCCTATATTGAATGTGAAAGTCTTATTCCTATGGGTAAAGTTATGCTTAAAACCTTCCCAGAGGAGAACAGTTTTAAAGTCCCGGAGAGAAAGAATGGGCTGCCAGTGCAGGCTGACTAATGATTTACCTGTAAACGCTGTAAGGGTTGCATTTCCATAGCTCTGCCCTTCCTCCTCTCACACACGACTGCCTTGAAAGTTACCAAGGAGGTCTGCACCTCCCAAACATGAAGGCTCAGCATTAAGCAGAAAAGCCTGAACTGCTAATTCATGAAACCAATGCTTCCATTGTTAGCACTGTGACCCTGAGGACATACTAGGGATGGTTCTTACAGTTTGAAAGGCTTTTGCTTAGGTTTTCAGCATTTGATTCCCCACTACTTACATAACATATTTATGTCATCTAGTAAGTGCAAACAAAAAGATTTTGGTTTCTTCCATTTTTTTTTAAACACATCAATTTCTACAACAAAGAACTGATAGCTGTTTGCTGCCCCATAGAGCCCCACCTCTTTTTGCCCCCTACTGCATGATGTCAGGGAAGGGTTGTGTATTTCCGTCACCTCTGCAGAAGCAGCAGGAAGTAGCATTGTTGGATCAGAGACATGAGTGACAGGGCTGATGAATGGAGCAGATCATGCTGCCTCTACTGAATGACCTGCCAAGGAGTCTTACCTTCTCCTTCGTAATAAATACGCTCTGGTCCTGGTGAAAGACAGCAGGCTCTCGCCTGACCTTACAATAACATCAGCAAAGGGTTAAAAGTTCTTACACTAGGCATCATCCTCTTTACTCAACATGTACAACTCAACTTTAGAGACTCAACTTCCCCTGTACTTTCTCCTTCCTAGTCTTGCTTTGGTAATGTGGGGCTCAGAAAAAGCCTTACAAACATTACTAAGCCCCTCTCCCTCAGGCCAGCTCCCCTAGCTCCACTGTAAAATCATTACCTGTGTCTTGAGCTTCTAATTTCAAGGGGTCCCCCACACATTCTGAGCAGAGAAGGCATGCAATGACTTTGAGACACATGCCTCGGGGTTCTCTTGTTAAAACAGGAGTATTTAATAGGAAATTTATAAGAAAGGCCACTGCTAAGCCACAGATTTCTTCCTAATTGGGTTGGCTACCATTTCCTTCAAGGGAACCTTGGCTGTCTCTCTTAGAACACACACACACATACACACACATTTGGAGAGGAATGGGACACAATGCATACAAATTAGATAAACAAAGAAAGAAATATAAATCATTCATAATCCTACCGTGCAGGAAAACCACAGTGGAGATTTTACCACATTTACTTTCAGTCTTTTATGTATGTATTTTACACATTCCTGTTTGTATTCCTGTTAAAACATTTTTGTGTGAAAGGACGAAAATACCATACCATTTATCCTGCTACAAATCTCCACTTTGAAATTGCCTTTAATTATTTTGTTTCTTCCTGACTATGAATTATGAAATACATACAATTTTACAAAACTTAAACAATTGAGATCTTAAGCAAGGAAAACAAAATCGCCATAAATCCTCCCACCCTTGGGCAAACACCATTAACAGTAAGATAAAACAATATTTAGCATCCCGTACCTTAGCCGCACCTCCTTCTAGGCCGCCTGGGTCTACCTCCAAATCCTCAGGAGACTCAAAATCCAGCAGGCCCTGCAGTAACCCAAAAGCCTTATTGGAAATCAAAAAGTGGAATGCCAACTAAATGTACTGTGCAATCTCCAGACAAATGCTAAAGTAACTGAGAATGTATGCAAATTTGTCTGTCTGTCACGAGTAAGAGGGAAAGGATGAATTATCTATCTGGCACAGTGTTCTTTGCACAAATAAAATCATATTAGCCACATCCTAATGTAGCCTGCTTTTTCTCACTCAACGGCATATCATGAATGTTTATTTTCTCATGACATTAAATACTTTTAAAAACATCGTTTTGATTCTGTCAGCGTTGTGTCCTATACACACATCGTAATTGATTCATCTTTTCTATTGCTAAATATTTTGGTTCTGTAATTTTTCCTAAAGATAGCTTCCTAGAAGTGGAATTGTCAATCTTAAGAGTTTTGATGCATATATCCAAGTTCCTTAGAGAAGGACTATGTTCCCGCCAGCCACTTATAAAGCCTGGCTCACCAGCCATTTAATCAAAATGTTCAACCAATTGAATTAACAGGTCAATCCCACCTCACTGCTTTTTAGTTTGAATTTCTCAGATAATTAGTGAGGTAGAACTTTCAAAAAATGTTTGCTACTAAACATTTCTTCTTCTTTTGTAAAATGCCTTCCTTCATTTATTATTACTATTATTTTAATTTAATTTTATTGTTTAAAGTATTTACATATGAACAAATAGTACATATGTCTCCTTTTTACATTTTTATTATTAATTTCTTTTTTATTGAGGTAGACCTGACACATAAAATTGTTAGATATGTAAAGTGTACATCATGATGATTTGATATATGTGTACATTGTGAAAGGATTCCCCCATCTAGTTAATTAACACATCCATCTCACCTCACATAGTTATCATTTATGTGTGAGAGAGAACAGTTGTCTACTCTGTTAGCAAATTTCAGTTATACAATACAGTGTTATCAAACTTCATGTTTTACACCAGAGCCTCAAACCCTATTCATCTTACAGCTGAAAGTTTGTAACATTTACCCACCTCTCCCCATTAATTATTTCTTTAAATAGTAGCCTATTTAAAATTTTAAAAGAGGAAAAATGAATTTTGCTCTTATGATATGAGTTAGTTTATACAAGAAATCAGCATGAGTATCTATCCTAGAATAGCTTTGTAATAAGCAAAACTTATAGTAAACCAATATTGCACCATTTTGCAAACCATATCTTAATTCAACAAAATCCAGGGAAGAAAAATTCTCTACATTAAATTTGGTAGTTTTGCCGAAACCGGTTTGGCTCAGTGGATAGAGCGTCGGCCTGCGGACTGAAAGGTCCCAGGTTCGATTCCGGTCAAGGGCATGTACCTGGGTTGCGGGCACATCCCCAGTAGGAGATGTGCAGGAGGCAGCTGATCGATGTTTCTCTCTCATCGATGTTTCTAACTCTCTATCTCTCTCCCTTTCTCTCTGTAAAAAATCAATAAAATATATTTAAAAAAAAAATTTGGTAGTTTCCAGTCCTGGCTAGTGCTGCTCAATGATTAGAGCATCATCCCACACACTGAAGGGTTGTGGGTTTAATTCCCTATTAGGGCACATACACAGGTTTCGGGTTGGATCCCCGGTCAGGGTGTGTATGGGAGGCAACCGATTGGTGTTTCTCTCTCTCTCCCTCTCTCCCTTCCTCTCTGGAATTAATGAAAATAAAAACGTCCTCGGTTGAGGATTAAAAGAAATTTGGTAGTTTCCCTCCATCACTCAGCCTGTTTGACAGAAACCATGAGTTCAATGAAAGTGCGTTCCTGTTGCTGATACCAATGTATGCTGATAATAATATAGTAATATTGTTTCATTAACTTGCCTTGACTCATTAGACATTATGTACTAAAAATCTCAGATAAGATAGTAAGCATTTCATAGACATGCCTTTTTTACTATTTTTGTTATTCATTTCTATGAGCTCATTATTAAGCATGCTGACCATTGGTCACATCTCTTGCTAATATATATTTCCCCCATTTTTTCATGTGTCTGTCCTTATGGTATAATCCGTCCTTCCTTCCCCTTTCTTTTATACTTGGAACAGCTCTCCCACACCAGGATTCTACAATCCTTTCAAAGCCGTGAGGCAGTCTGCCCAACACCCATGCTTTCAAAGAAGCTGCAGAATGAGCTCAGTTCCTCAGGACGGAGACAACCACAAAGGCCCTCCTTTCGTCATAGGCCTGCCAGCGGTTTAAACGTGTGTTCCCGGGCATCCAGGCTTCTCCACGGGAAAGACTGGCCAGCCCTGAGTCGCCTCCCATGGTTTTGCACAGACCCTCAAGGAAGATTTTATAATCATTCCGTCTCTTGTTTCCTCAATAAAGATAACAACATCTTCTAAGTATTTTTAACATGTATTCCCTCTTTTAATGTTTCCAAAAGGCACACCAGGCAAGTACCATTACTACCTTTTTTTTTTTTTTTTTTACAGGGGAGGAGCCTGAGACTGAGAGCAGGAACCTGCCTGAGTTCACACAGCTGGCAGAGCCTGGATCCACACCCAGGATGTCTGGCTCCCGACTCTGTGCTTCTGGTCACTGTGCCCCAAGGTCCTCTGCAAATGGAACTTAGCTATTGTGTCAGCATCGCTTCAGAGGGAAAACTGGAGCCCTCAGTCCCGGATGCAGCCAGGCCAGGGGGTGAAGCCCCCCTCTTCCCGAGCCTCCCTTAGGTCCCGCCCCCTCCTCGCTGGGCCCAGTGGTAGGACTTCATGACCAGAGTAAGGATGTGACAGTCAGAGGCATGCGGGGCGCTAAGAGGATGCTGTATCATTACTCGCTCACAGATACTACTCATGTTGGGAGGCAGTGAGCCATCATCCTCACTCCCACACTGGCGTGGCATCTCCAGGTATGAAACAGCGCTACCTGTCACGGAGCTTCCTGGGGCTCAGCGCTGGGCAGCTCTCTGCAGGCATCATTCACTGCTTTCCCCAGCGAGGAGGTGGTTCTGCTATCCTCATCCACTATGAGAAGACCTAGGCCTAAGAGGTCCAGTAATCCCCGTTGGTAGCAACAAAGCTAGGGCAGCCTAGGCTGGGGCTGTCGAGGCAAAGATGAAAGAGCTCACTTTTCCCGAGAGTGGAATATCGGACATGAGCTTAACCTCTGTGAGCCTCAGTTTCTTCATACTCCAGAGCCTGCCTGACACATCTGATTGCAGGATTAAGTAAAAAATATGTGTGGGAAGGCTCCCAGGTCCCTTTTAACTCTCTGATTCCTTGGTCTTACCCCTCATTGAGGAGGGCCGCGTGAGACTTGGAGGACAGACAAAGCTCCAAGGGCAGAAATTTCACCTCAGAAGACAAAATCACAACTGTCCACGTGACCACCTTAGTGCATTCACCTGTTTTCCCAACACAGAAAAGCACGGTCTCATTGGCTTTACCTTCAACAGCATCTGGTATTTTATAAGTCTCTGGCTTGGGCCTCTGAGATACTTGAAAAGAGGGAGACTGTGATCCAATTGGCGCTGGCACACCTTTCAGAAACAAACAGAAACAACATCAACCAAAACAAACAACACACCAGAGAACAAAGGTGGCGGCATGGAAACACCAGAAACGAGCCAGGCTCTTCATGGACGAGAAGGGGCAGTGGTGTTGGCCAGTTTCCTAAGGCTACTGAGTTGCTCAGTCCTTCAGCAACAGCGAGTGAAGTGAAAGGAAGGGGGAAGGGGACGACTTGGCTAGTGTTTTTATAGGCCACTAGGGAAGCAGGGCCACTTATTTCTTTTAGAAGGCAAGCCCCTAGAAGACAGCGGGGCATTTCAGGTCCTTCTACACAGGAGGCAGCCTGTCTCTGAGTCTGGGCGAGGTGGGGTCCATTGAGGTCATTTGAGACTATAGGATACATGATGGCGTATGATATCATTCAAGAGAGTCCCAGAGTCTAATCTTTTGGACTTAATTCTGTTTTCAAAACCACCTTAGAAGAGGACTCTGGTTTCCGCACCAGGCTCCTCGCAGACCTGCTCACCGAGACCCAGGGCAGCATCCAAACTTCCAATGTACGACTTCAACAGAGAAGAGACTTTTAATAAACATAAATCCCAGTGCCAAATTCCTCTGCCCAGTTCATACTTTTGGTAGCTTTAAAAATTTGGTGCATAATGAAAAAAATGAATTGACCAACAAAATAAGACCCGGCCCTGACCGATTTGGCTCAGTGGATAGAGCATTGGCCTGAGGACTGAAGGGTCCCGGGTTCGATTCCAGTCAGGGGCATGCACCGTGGTTGCGGGCACATCCCCAGTAGGGAGTGTGCAGGAGGCAGCTGATGTTTCTAACTCTCTATCCCTCTCCCTTCCTCTCTGTAAAAACTCAATAAAATATATTAAAAAAAAAAAGACCCACAGTATGGAGGCATGGAACAGATTGACGTAACTTGATGTGAGGTTGGGGGAACAAGAAGAAAGAAACCAAAGAGCTTATATACTTATATGCATAGCCCATGGACATGGGCAATAGGGTAGTGAAGACCCGGGGGTGGGGTGGATAGCGGCTGGGAGAAGGAGGGTGAAGGGGGAGAAAATGGGAGATATATGTAATACTATCAACAATAAAAATATATTAAAAATTTTTTGATGCACATAAACATTATTCAGAGAAAACAATTTGTGGGAGACCTTGTAATCTCAACGTTACCCCAAAGTAGGCGCAGTCTTGACATTCTTGCCAGATTGCCTGAGCTCGGGGCAGATTCTTATGGTATTTAAAATATATCTGAAGATCTTCTTTCTGAGTCAGGGAAAAAATCCAACGCATTAATCAGGTGGTATTATCAGTAAGTGGATAGGATACTACAGTTTATTTATTCATCCAACAAGCCCGGGTTTTTCAATGTGTGAGAAGCTGGGGATGCACAGTCAGTGGCCTTGCGATGGAGTGAGTGTGTGATGGAGGGAATGGGGGCCACAAACAACCATACGTACTAAATACAGATCGGAACAAAGTGCTGTGGGAGCAGTTACAGGACATTCATGAACAGGAGTCGGTCTCGATCTGTGTTGTTTCTCCTCTGCTTTTTATGCAAAACACCAATGTCTCCCCTAAATAGTTCTTTCCCCCGCAAAAAAGGTGTTTACTGAATGGTAAAACGGAACACCCTCTCCTATTTACCATAATCATGACTCCAATTCCAGGGGGGGAAAAACCCAGAGAAACAACAGAGAGAAACACCCCAGCAGGAAAATGTGGCCATTCAGACAAAACCACACAGATCTAAATCACGTGGGCAAGCCCCAAAGTGGCAAGCTCTGCCTCAGTCATCGCCTTCACCTGTAGCACAAGATTCAAGAAGGAAAAGGTACTCAGCTGTCTCAGAGCTAGAGACCAACAGCGATCTGAGTGCGTGCGCGACCTTGAGAGCGTGCGGAGGACACATATCTGCCAATATCCCAGATGGAAAGGACACCCCAAGCCAGTGATGGCGAACCTATGACACGCGTGTCAGAGGTGACACGCGAACTCATTTTTTTGGTTGATTTTTCTTTGTTAAATGGCATTTAAATATATAAAATAAATATCAAAAATATGTCTTTGTTTTACTGCGGTTGCAAATATCAAAAAAAATTCTATATGTGACACGGCACCAGAGTTAAGTTAGGGTTTTTCAAAATGCTGACACGCCGAGCTCAAAAGGTTCACCATCACTGCCCTAAGCCAATGAAGCCAGCTGCAGCTTTGCTCCATCAGGAGAGCCTGGTCCACGGGCGCGGTGCTTGCCCCAGAGCCACGCCGCTCTGGCAGAGAGGCCCACGTGGTTTCTTCCTTTCAGATTTCGTGTCCCTCTCTTCCTACTAAAGGCCAGTTCCGGATGTCCTTCACATGCATGTGGGCTCTCTTCCCCTCACTGTGTCAACGCTGTCTCTTCTACTTCTAAACACAGGGCTCTGGTGAATGAGTTCCATTTCTGTATCTCTTCCCCTCTCCCCATGGATTGTAAGTGGTCATTTCACTACAAGAACTACAGAAACTCTGTCTTTTGTACTCTCTCCAGAAAAAATTGCGCATGCACACACACATTTAGTAAAAGAGGTGGCCCTTGAGAAATGTTGTTCAGACTGGTTAAGGAACTAGAATAAGAATTCAAAGCTTAACAATAATATATTCATTATGCATTCACTCAGCAACTGTCTACTGAGTGTTTTTGGTGTGTTGGCACTCTGCTGAGTGCATCTGTTAAACTCAGTGGCTCCCAAAGCATGGCAGACTAGATGTGGGACACATTTCTGCCATCCTGAAGGCCAGGCTTACAAAACATTACAATTTACAATTTGATTCAGGCATCTCATCTACAAGTAGTCTGTCAGAGCACAAAGACATTGGCTGCTAGCTCCTAAAACAGTGATGGCGAACCTTTTGAGCTCGGCGTGTCAGCATTTTGAAAAACCCTAACTTAACTCTGGTGCCGTGTCACATATAGAAATTTTTTTATATTTGCAACCATAGTAAAACAAATACTTATATTTTTGATATTTATTTTATACTAGAAGCCTGTTTCTTGTAGCTCAGAGGCCGGCAGCGGCAGGTGGGGAACGTTGGAGTCCTCCGTCACTGAAGCAAGCAAGCCTCATGTTCGCTTTAAGCTGCCTGGCTGCCGGCCGCCATCTTGGCTGGCAGTTAATTTGCATATCGCCCTGATTAGCCAATGGGAAGGGTAGCAGTCGTACGCTAATTACCATGTTTCTCTTTTATTAGATAGGATATGGCCTGAGGTTATTTAACCTTCCTACACCTCAGTTTTCTCATCTGTTAAGTGGGCTCACCACAGCAGTCAATTCCTATGGTTGCTGTGAGATTAAATGAGATGATGTATAGAAACCTCTCAACAAATGCCTGATACATGCAGAGTACCCAACAAATAGTAGCTATTGTCACAGCACTTTTTACTTTGTCTAACCCTTCTGCATGCATTATTTTATTTGACTTCCACAACAGCTCTACGTGTTGGTATTATTAAGCCTGTTGTATGGAGGAGGAAAGTGAGACTCCAAGGGTTTAAGTGACTTACTTGAGGTCAAGCAGATAGCAGTTCTTAAGCACAAATACATGATCTAGATAAGAAGTTCCATTTCCCAAGTCTCATCCATGCTCTTTCCAGAGAGCAAAGGAAACTCAAAGTAAACCACTGACAAATAATATTCTACATGGAGCTTGGTCTCAGGGGCAGAATCTCCCTGGGCGCTATAAGTATAGAGTCTGATTAAAACACTTGGCCAGCATGGCCGGTGTGGCTCAGTGGGTGAACATCAGCCTATGAACCAGGAGGTCTCAGTTTGATTCCCGGTCAGGGCCCATTCCCTGGGTTGTGGGCTCGATCCCCGGTGAGGGGCATACAGGAGGCAGCCAATCGATGTTTCTCTCTCGTGGATGTTTCTCTCTCTCTATCCCTCTCTCTTCCTCTTTCTAAAATCAATAATAATAATTAAAAAAAAAATCTTGGCCAGAGCAATATTTCGAAGTTCATATCTATGATTAGTGTCAATCTGCAAATACTATTGAGAAAAGATAAACTGCTATAGTAAAAAAGGGATGATAGGCCCACCTTATTGGCTAACAAATACAAGTCTTTGTACAGCAGTAGCCAATACTCTCAAGGATTCTCAAAGATTAGATAATTGCAGTTTTAAGGTAAGAATTTATTACCTGTATTTTGTCTCCAACATCATTAATCATATAGGATTATATACAGAGTTTGTGGTCTGGGTTAATGATTTCTAAGGTGTCTCCCAACATGGAGGACTATAAAAAGCTTGTATAACTGTAGGAGAGGAATTCATCCAAGAAAAGATGTTTAGTTGGCAACTCCCTGACTATTTCTTCATACTTAAACAATTTTTATGTGATTACACCCATTTTCCCCCATAGGAATTTGGTCCTTTTCTCACTCAAAAAAATGTAAATGTCTTTGCAATCCTATATAATAATAGGGTAATATGCAAATTGACCAAATGGCAGAATAACCAGTTGCTATGATGTGCAGTGACCACCGGGGGCAGATGCTCAATGCAGGAGCTGCCCCCTGATGGTCAGTGCACTCCCACAGGGGGAGCGCTGCTCAGCCACAAGCTGGGCTGATGGCTGGCGAGCACAGCGGAGGTGGCAGGATGGCAGCGCTAAGGATGTCACTGCTAAGGGGCGCAGGCCAGGTTGAGGACCCCCCCCCCCCCCCCAGTGCTCGAGTGTCGTACACCAGGACTCTAGTAATGATGTAAGCATGAAACTAGATTTCTCATTGGTGACTTAATAAGTGCAAAGTTGCAAAGTAAGAAAAAACACTAATAATCTGTAGAAACAGTTCAAAAAGGAAATCATGAGATTGAATACGAAACAGTTTCCAGCACTTGATGCTTGGAAAGTGCATGCAGGGCCATGGAGGGAGGGGCCTTCTAAGCTGGTTAGGAGCTCTGAGGGTTGAAAGCTCTGTTTTTCCACGATGTCCAATACCGTGAAACCTAGGGATTCTTGTTTGCTTGCTCTCAGTTTACACAAGTATTTCTCTTAAACTCCTCAGTCGTAATTTGGGTTGTTTAAAAATTTGGAAGTTCTTCGATCTGTTGTCTCAGACTCACAAAAATAAAAATAAAAACAAGGAAGAAATGGAAAAGAATGGCTGAGAGAGAAGAAATGGGAAAGATTTAGGAAGCTGAGGGCAGCAGGATCATCTGCAGTCCTCCTACGGGGAGGGGAACACGTGGGTGCCAGCACCCAGGGAGCACCACTGACCCCAACAACCTATTTATTGCCCAGAGCAGCGGTGGAGAAGTCTGAGTGGGAAGAGGGCTGTGTGGTTGGAAGGGGAGGTCGTCAGACGTATGTGGTTGTAGAACAGGAAATTCACAAATCGGATGCGATACGTCTGAGAGGCCGTAGAGTTGGCATTTTCTAACCACCCTCTACGCTATAAAACATCAAATGGAAGTCAATACATTTTCAGGGATTTTCAGTTTAACATCAGTACTACTTCTCTTGAGAGTACTAACACAACTAGTGAGGAATGTAAGTGTGACTCTGGTCCTAAAAGAGTTAGGTTAGTCATGCAGAGTTATTCAGGATCAGCTGCTTTGGGTTGCCTGGGGGCCAGTCTTTCATGTCACTAGGCTTTGCCGGAAGCCAGGCTTATAAGGCCCCCACCCATGAGTGAGCTCAAACTGGACATGTCTCACACCGTGTGGCGTCGTGCGGGACTTCTGCTCTGCCTTCCAAAGGCAGGTGTGTTTTTAGACCACTGGCATTGCCATTAGCCCTTGCCACCTACACAGCAAATTAAGGGCTGACTTGAATCCCAAGGTTATTCTGATTGTTTAGGAACGCAGACTTACTCTCTTGAGAAAGCAGCGAGCCAGAAGTTCAGGATTCTCAGTGCACTTTTCCAATTCTTTTAGAAAAGCCCTGGGGGGTGGGGGAGGGGGAAGTAGAATAATGCTTTTAAAATGACATTTACATGCATTCCATTTTTTTAAAAGTAAAATCATATAAGGTTTTAAGAGGTGCCTAGAAAAACATTGTTTTCTAAACTTTATTGCTCTTGATTCATCTTCAACACACTGACTTGGAAGAAAGAAAGTGTATTCTGTGACATGGGTAGGATCCCCTAAAACAGCCACATTAAATTCCCTGATAATTCTAAGCACGAGCCGCTGCAGACGGGATGCACGATGCTTCCTGCCACCCATTAAGGTTAATGAGAACGGCTGCTGTTGCTGCTGCCACCACTGCTATCACCCGAGCTTCCTATGAACGAGGCATAAGCTGAGTGCTTCACAAACAGTATCTCATTTAATCTTCCACCAAACCTTGCAAGACAGGGTTTCATAAACCCGAGGTTAAGAGAGGCTACATAGCTTCCCAGGGAAAGTATTAGAAATGAGATTTCCATTTCGGTTTTGACAACAGACCAATAGACATAAGATGTGGTTAGGAAACAACCAAGGTTCTTTTCCCTTCTGGCAATTAGATGTGTAATTTTGCAGTCAGTCTAGTGAGTAAAGTGAGGTTTACTCATCTGCAAAATGCAAGGGTTGGAAAATGATTTCCAAAGTCCTTTTGTCCTCTATTTCTCTAGAACTCGGCATTTAAAGTGCCCTGGGCTAAAAGGACGACTTGTTTGACCGGTTAGCATTTCTAACACCCTAGTTCCCAGCACCACCCTTTGGTAATAGGCATGGTCATCTTTGTATTCCCCATGCAGAACAGGGTCTGACACCCAACAGGTGCTCAATAAGTGCTGATGCATAAATAGATGAATTTGCAAAAGAACGCAGGCACAAATACAACATTGATGCCTGACAGCTAGTTCAGGCTTCATTAATGTCTTTTCCCTCTTCCCCCAGGGATCTCGCTGCACTTCTCCCTTCCTTCACATCCCATCCCAACCCACTGATTCCGGACTACTTACTTAAGCCTGAAAATATCTAAGTACTTTCATGGCCAAATTCCATCAGTCTGATTTCCAGCCTTCTCTTACTTTCCATTTTTCCTGGTAATTTGAATTATTATGTACCTGTTGTGAAATTCGTAGAGTTCTCTAATATTCCCAAAGAGAAAGTCCTTGTTATTCTGAAGAACGTCTGGTATCAGATGCTTTAGCCAAATATAATCCATTGGAGTGATATATCCCTGCAGAGGTGCAAACAAGGTAGGTTTTACAGATAGAACATATGAGAGATGATCTGAATTAGCTACTCCAGGGAATACAACTTTAATAAAATAATTGGGGAATATGGAACACATATCTCCTGAAAGCCATTCATCACATTCTTTTGATATTATTTTCCTCATCGGTCCATCTTCAGAAGAAGATGGTTTATTGGGAATGATAATAAAAAGGCATTTTTATAGGAAGAGCAAATATATTTTTAAAAACTTACCTATCATCTTATGACCTGTTGCAATTACTACCGTTTTATTATATTTCCTGCATGACTTTTAGAAAGCTTATTTTATATGGTTATAATCACCATACATAAATAAATTGTATTGTTTTGCCATATACATTTTAGAGTCTGCTTATAAATTTCTACATATATGGTTTTTAATGTAATCTTTTAAGCATTTTTCAGTGTTGCTACAAATTATTCAAAATAATTATTTGTAACAGTTGAATAATATTTCACTACTATTTAACTGTTACAAAATAATTAGCATGTTTTAGACTTGCTATTATTAGACTTGATTAACCATTTCTTCCCTTTTTAATTAGATATTTGGCTCTCTGATATTTTGTGGTAAAAAATTATATTGTAATTTTGTACATATAATTTATTCCTCAAGATTATGCCCTTAGGAAAATACACATTTTCACTAGTAAGAAAAATGTGCTACTTAAAACAATGAGAAACAATACTCTCTTATTAAATGATCAAAAACATGTCATTGACCATCTCCATTTTTTGGCAAGCATGTGGTGAACTTAGTTGGGCAGTACCAGAATCAGTATGAAGTGGCACAATCCTTTAGAAGGTATTTAGTTACATGGATCAATAGTCCTAAGAATGTGCTTATTCCAGCTGGAAAAACACTTGCAATATTATAAGACCTAAAACCTAGGGGGGAATTCCAGAGACACATGGCAACTATTTTGGTTCTCTGTATAACAAAATTTCTTCAATTTGAACACGTGTTTAACATCCCCCTCCCCAATCTACTTACATCAATTATGCTCTTCATTTCTTTTATATAAACCTCTTCGGTCTCAAGCAAGTCACGTATAAGGCACCTGAATCACAGCAGCAGGTGGGAAGATGAAAGAGAAGGAGGAGGAACAATTCTTTAGGATTCTTTTAGAATAATGCTCATCAATAGTTCCTCTTAGTGGCTCACTTACTTAGTCAATTCATTCTCTTCTATGGACTACCCATGGCCAACAGCTCACAAAACCACACTCTGATCAGACTGAGGTTAGAGGAAATGGCAAGGTTGGAGGACTCAAAACCCGTGTGTGCAGCTGGCGAGTGACTTGTCCTCGGTGGGCTACAGTGTGGAGGTCAAGAGGGCAGATGGTGGAGTAGGAAATGCCTGGTTTGGATCCTTGGTCAGGAGAGTTTGCCTGAGCCCTATGTTGTCCATGTGGTTTCCTAGACTTTATCTCTAGCTTTCTGCTGTTTCATCGCTCCCTTGGATCTGTGACCCACTTGGGTGTATTGTGTGCACAGGGTTAGACAGATGCCAGTTATGCCCCCTGCTTCCGGCATTCGATGTTTCAGGGGGATTGATTCCCTCAGCCAGATGACTGGAGCTCCATCTGCTTCCCTTGAGGAAGCAGGTAGGGAGTGAGGTCAGCAAAATTCTAAGATGATCTGCAAGATACCTGGCTCCTGCTATACACACCTTCTCCCCGTCAGTCAATCAAACACTAATTTACGTGCTGCTGTGATGCGATTTTGCCATTCTGATTTGTTCCAGATCAGCTGACCTTAGGATAGGTAAATGACCCGGGCGGGCCTGTCCTCATCCCATGATAGCTCTAGATCTAGGTCTAGAAGTAGAGAGATTGGAAGCATGAGGAGGTGACCTAAGGGAGATTCTCCTTTGCTGGCTTTGGAGGGGACATGTGGCCAGGAGCACAGGCAGCTGGGCGTGGCCTCCAGCTGATTGATAGCATGGAAACAGAGACTTCAGTCCTATGATTGCAAGGAACTGAGTTGCAAATACAATGGCGTGAACCTAGGATACTGAGTGCAGCCAGCCAATGGCTTGATTTTAATTTGTGGGACCAGGGCAAAAAGCCAGTCATGCTGTGCCCGGACTCCTGTCCCAGTGAAACTGTGAGCTGAGCTGCTAAGTTTCTGGCCATTTTTTATGCAGCGATAGAAAACTAATAGAGGGAGGCCAGACTCCCACATCTCTCTCTAGACAGACTGCTTTCCCTCTCTTCTCAGGCTGCGAGGCCACACTTTCATTTCAAGGCTTTCTTTCAGGCCTCCAAGTGAGTCAGTCAGTGTTTGTACAAGTGTTCGTGTGTGGAGTATGCACACTTATGGTTTCCTGTGAACTGTCGGCGGTTATCTATTAAACGGTAACCCAGCCTAGTGAATGGTTTCTTCTCCTTTCATAAAACGGACATGGCAAGAGACAAAGACCATGATTTAGGAAATTCACACAAATATACAAATAGCTATTAGTCTTATGTAAAAAAAGAAAAAGAAAAGCTCAGGGCACATGAACCTAACAAAGACATAGTAAAAAGAAGTCATAATTTTCAACTACTAAAATGGCAGAAATTTCAAATCTCAAAGGAAGACCGATTGGTGAGCATGTGGAAACACTCTCAGACAGTCTTGGCGGGAGTGTAAATCAGTGCGCAATAACTTAGAAATAGCTCACCAGATTGAAAACGCAGCTCCTTGACTCCGTAATTCCACTTCTAAGAATGTGTATTGTTTGTTACGAGATGAAAGCACGGTAGCAACAACCAGATATATGTGGGAAATTACTTAAATCAGGGGTCCTCAAACTTTTTAAACAGGGGGCCAGTTCACTGTCCCTCAGACCGTTGGAGGGTCGGACTATAGTTTAAAAAAAAACTATGAACAGATTCCTATGCACACTGCACATATCTTATTTTGAAGTAAAAAAACAAAACGGGAACAAATACAATATTTGTATTTGCATGTGGCCCGCGGGCCGTAGTTTGAGGACCCCTGACTTAAATGCTCCTCAATCAATTATGGTGCACACCTATGATGACATGCCCTGCAGTTTTTAAAAGAGCGAAGTCAATTGAAAAATGCTGATCTGATGGTCATTTTAAGTGAATTTAAAAAAAGAAGCAGAAAAGTACGCATAGTGTGCAATTTGTGTAAAACTGAGTGTACACAACTACATATATGTAAATCTATATATGCTTAGAAAATTCATACAGAGAAACGTAAGCCACTGTCAACAGCGATTGCTTTGGGAGAGTGGTACTGAAAACAGGGAAGGAGAATTTCTTCATTTCAATCTACAATTTTTTTACAATATTTGATTTAAAAACTTTATTTTTTTATTATTAATTAAAGCTTTATTGTTCAGATTATTACATTTGTTCCTCTTTTTTCCCCCCATAACTCCCCTCCACCCAGTTCCCACCCCACCCTCCTCCCTCACTCCCCACCCACTGTCCTCATCCATAGGTGTACGATTTTTGTCTAGTCTCTTCCACCACCCTCCTCACCCCTTACCCCGCCCCCCCCAAGAATAGTCAGTCCACTCCCTTTCTATGCCCCTGATTCTATTATAACCACCAGTTCATTCTGTTCATCAGATTATTCATTTGATTTTCAGGTTCACTTGTTGACAGATGTGTATTTGTTGTTCATAATTTGTATCTTTACCTTCTTCTTCTTCTTCCTCTTCTTAAAGGATACCTTTCAGCATTTCATATAATACTGGTTTGGTGGTGATGAACTCCTTTAGCTTTTCCTTATCTGTGAAGCTCTTTATCTGACCTTCAATTCTGAATGATAGCTTTGCTGGATAAAGTAATCTTGGTTGTAGGTTCTTGGCATTTATCACTTTGAATATTTCTTGCCACTCTCTTCTGGCCTGCAAAGTTTCTGTTGAGAAATCAGCTGACAGTCATATGGGTACTCCTTGTAGGTAACTGACTTTCTTTCTGTTGCTGCTTTTAAGATTCTCTGTCTTTTGCTCTTGGCATTTTAATTATGATATGTCTTGGTGTGGTCCTCTTTGGATTCCTTTTGTTTGGGGTTCTCTGCGCTTCCTGGACTTGTAAGTCTATTTCTTTGACCAGGTAGGGGAAGTTTTCTGTCATTATTTCTTCAAATAGGTTTTCACTATCTTGCTCTCTCTCATCTTCTGGCACCCCTATAATTCTGATGTTGGTATGCTTGAAGCTGTCCCAGAGGCTCCTTACACTATCTTCGTATTTTTGGATTCTTTTTTCATTTTGCTTTTCCATTTGGGTGTTTTTTGCTTCTTTGTATTTCAAATCGTTGACTTGATTCTTGCAATCCTCTAGTCTGCTGTTGGGAGTCTGTATAATGTTCTTTATTTCAGTCAGTGTATGCTTAATTTCTAGTTGGTCCTTTATCACAACTTCGAGGGTCTCATTAGATTTCTTGTAGATCTCATTAAGTTTATCGGCAGTTTCTAGAAAATTCTTGAAAAACCTTAAAAGTGTGGTTTTCAACTCTATATCTAGTAGTTCGCTTTCCTCCATTTCTGTCATTTGTGTCCTTTTTCTTTGTCTCCGCATTTTTTATGCTTCCCTGTGTTGATAAAGTGTTTTCTGTGCTAAGTGTCCTCTAGGGCCCAGTGTTTCAGCCTCCCCAATTACCTGAGGAGGACACTCTTGGTGCACCCCCTTGTGGGCTTTGTGCACAGTCTTGTTATAGTTAAGCCTTGATTGTTGTAGGTATCACTGAGAGGAATTAACCTCCAGGCCAATTGGCTGTGAGAATCAGCTGTGTCTGCAGTGGGAGAACTTCTGTGCTGGAGACACCCATCTGGGGCAAGACTTGCTTCAATGGGGCTGTGGTGCTCACTGAGTCTGCCCCCTGAGTGTGTCTTTTATGGTTCCATGGAGCTGCAAACTGGATGGTCTCACTCTGACCTCTGGGTTTCCTGGCTCCTGGATCTCTAGGGAGGTGCTAATCTAGCCTTTGCCTGAGGCTATCCAGCAAAAGCCTCCCTGCAGGACTTGGGTGGGGCAGGTCCCATGGGATCAACAGGGCAGGGCTAGCAGTTATGGTGTCTCCACTTCTCAGTATCCTGGAAATCTCTGCCAGCCCCTCCGAGAGAAAGCTGCCCTGGAGTTCCAACCGCTGCCAGACAGTCCCACTTCTCCCGTATGAGTCTGGGTCCCTAGAGACTTGCCCGGAACCGGAGCTCAGAGCCTGAGACTCCCTCCCGATTGAAAACAACAATCGTGCCCTCAGCCGCCAGCCCTCTCCGCATGCACCTCCGCACCTTAGTATTTTACTTCCGCACTGCGCCTCCTCTGAGTCTCAGTATGCTTTTCTCTTTCCTTCTAGTTGTGGAATTTCCACTCAGCCAGCCTTCTTGTGGTTCTGGATGATGTCCGTTCTGTCTTTTAGTTGTATTTTGGAAGTGGTTGTTCAACGCAGCAAACTACGGTGTTTACCTATGCCACCATCTTGGTTTCTCCCCAAAAAACTTTAAACATTTATAACTTTTATAACTGAAGGAATGGCTTACATGGCACCTTAAAATTAATGTAACGAGAGGTAATGATATGTAAACCCTATTCGAAAGCTATATGTAAATTCTACAATTTACATATTTTAGAGCTCAACAGTTATTTTTAAAATGACAATCTTTGTATCTATTTATAAAAGCTTGTTATAAAACAAGACTGATGAAGGATAGTCACTGACAGAGGATATGATTTCACAGAGAAAGACTACCAACAAAGTTACTTTAAGATCATACTTAGCAAACAGTCACTGAATAAGAGGTTTCTTTGCTTTCTAGAAATCATCCTGAAATGATTGTCACAAGGAAACATAGGCCTTGATACCAACTTATTTCTATGAGCTCTGACATCAAGTAGAACCACAGCAACAGTGAAGCATTCATAGAAAACCAGAGCACAGCCAGCCTCTTATGCCCTCCTGAAGCACTGGGCTTAAGCAACTTGGCAAGTCTGTTTAAGGATGAATTGATGACTAAATGAAGTCCAAAGGTAGAAATAACTAGGTGGTGAGCAGAAATCCAAGTTATTACCCGACAGTTACTGTCGTAATGTACCCC